CCTTCAAGTCACACTGTTGATCTTTACATGTGTTTCACAATATCATCACTTTATACTGATAGAATTATTTGGCCACATTTATGACAACTGAGGTGATGAAAACTCCTTCTAGACTTCAACGCAGGAATAAAGAAAAAAAAAAAAAAAGACGATAATCTTCACTTGTTGCCCAGGTGTCTATGAGTCAGACAGGTTAGTGCCATCAAATCTCCTTCTATCGGATCCATCAGTCCTCTGCTCACACTTTGGTTATGTTACCACAAACATGCCCGTCTTAAATATGTAAAGCCCTAAATCCTGCGTGCCATCTTATCAGCCCAGTAAAGCTATACTGAGTCAGCCCAGCATACCAGCCTGCACGAGGTTACACTCACTTCTTAGGCCCCTGTCCTGGTGTTCAGGCTTTACATAAATAGTTCAAAGTTACTCAAAGTAAATAACTGTATTCTGAAAACCTAGATAACATAAGTTTAAATGATTTATGTCCGTACCATAGAGGAGAACTTTTTTGTTTGTTTGTGGAAATGATAAAAATCTTTGTAGGAAATAGTTTACACCCTGATGTTTTGCTCAAAGAGGCACACTTGGCTATCGTGAACTTGGATCCTCTTCTTATCGTTAAAACAAGCCTGTGTAAATACATTTTTAAAAATGTTATTTTCCTCTTTTTGTTTTTCTGCCCGTTTAAATAAACGAAACTCCTTTTTTTTCATATTTTACAATGATATCACTTCCTTGTATTGCAAAAGTATATGCAAGAAAGCCAGACACATCTGTTGTTGGGTTTGCCACCGGAGCTCTGATACATGCACACATTAGATCGTGATGCTCATGTGTAACGCTGGACTAGTTCGTCATCCAGCAACCTAATTGTTCACAAATCTTCTCCGCCTACAGCTCCATCAAAGCCCTCAGATTCTCCCACAGTGGCGTATTGACTGTGCCGTTTTGTGGAAAAAGTAAAGGTTGTGGACAAAACTTTGACTGTAGCAGCTCCTCAGATCTGCAACAGCCTGCAGGAGGTTATTAGTGGCACGGGCTGAGCACGAAGGCGAAGCCCGAGGCCACTTTTGTTATCCTGGTGCGTTTTTTCTTATTAGCGGCACGGGCTGAGCACGAGGCCCTACTTGTACAGAGTGCACTTGGGAAGCCATTTCAAGGGTTAAATATCTTCAGAAATATAACTTACAAAACTAAAAAAAATATAGTTGAGGACTCAAATTGTGTCCAGTAGATCCAAATTATTAAAAAAAAAAAAGTATGTGTTGGTCAGACTGATAGACAACCGTCCGTAAACAGTAACAGTAACAGTTTGTATATTTTAATAAAGAAACACAGAAGCTGCTTTTGTACAAAGTGTGACATCAAACACTTGTTTTGATTTGCTCCGACCAGTAAAATGATGTATTGAAAGATTAATAAGAAAAGACTCCCAGCTAACAGTGCTGTCAGTCTAGAGGATGGTCTGGCTGGGAAACACTAACAGGGACTGATTTGCTTTTGGAGGCAGCTTCAAGTGGATATTTAAGGAACTGCAGGTTGCTGCTAGAATAACTCTTATGCCAAATTTAGAGGAAACCTCAAAACCTGTCCTTTACAAAAAAAAAAAAGGTTAAACAGACTTTCTCTGCACATGAGACAAACACCTCGTTTCCACTCAGCTCTGAGTTCCTTCATGTAAACTGAAGCTGAAGCTGAAATGAATTATTTGGTGACAGAGACCGTCCTTTCCTTCTAGGTTTTCTCAGTTTTTAAAACCATTTTGTACATAAATTAGTACAATATATGAGTCTGCTACCCGTTGCTTTGTTAAACAATTGGTGTCGAGGTGAGACTGAATCCAAAAATGAGATTTAGTGTGATTTGTACTGTTTTAGTCATTTGAAAAAAAACACGACTTAATTGACCTGCAGCAGAAATATATAGATGAATATGAAAATAAAAACTGATGAGCGTCGGTGGGTTAGCTGTCAGCTAACAGTGTATGTGATGCATGACTTACTGCAGAGTATCCCGCCAGACCTGATTCAGAATTCTTTTGTTCCTGTACCAACATTTTATTTCATCTCCAAAACAAGACTTCCCCATTGTTCACACCTGAAGTTATCAAATGTTGAGTTCCTGTGGTAGTAAATACCTGCAAGTGCTACATAGTAGTAAGTACAGAGTGTTTGTTGTGTCGATGCTAAATCACTTACTGTTTAATATGGGGTGTAGGGTTTCAGAGTGCAACATTACCCTTTATTAAGAAAAGGAACTGGGATGGAGAATGTTACTCAACCAGAAACGCAACCAGAACACTTTAAAACTTCACTGATGTTGCAGGTTGAACAGTTTGATGAACACAGCTGTGACCTCACCTGAGGAGGGCAACACGTGATAACAAGAGCAGGCTACGTTCAATATTCAAAGCACGGATTGCATCACAAGATAACAATGTACATTCCTTATTTATCTGTGTGATTCCTGTGGTAAGGCCACACGAGGACATCTGGGAGTATAAATTTAAAAAAAAAAAAAAAGACGCACACATACCTGCAGAAGGTCCACAAGACACACGACAAGACAGGTGCAATAGGGCAGGCATTGGTTTGACATACTGTACGATGACGAGTATCATCATCATCACTGCCACTTGACACAAGCACGGCGGTCCATATAAGTTTTGTTTAGGCATCTATCCAGGAAGCTGTCCCACTTTGAGGGCCCTTAGCAGCCTTTTCTTCTGGCTTGTGTCTCTTCCTCAGCCTTCCTCCTGTTCCTTTAAAAGGACCTCACACTGTCACGAACTGTTCTCCTCCACACTAGTCTGTCTAGTGGAGCTGTATCCCAATTACTTATCTCACAGTCTTTGAATGTCTTTTTGAGGATATCCGTAAATCTCTTCTTAGGAGCTTCTGGTTCCTGAGGATAGCTGGCTCAAGAGAAACTGTTTGGGTAGACGAAGTGTGTCCATTAGTAGTCCGTTCCGATGTAACGTAGCTTTGATGCTTGTCACAGAGCACCAGTCAAGAACCTCAGCATTGGTGACATGATCAAATTGTTTTATATTCATGTTTGTGCGTAGATACCGTTGATGAAACCTGTCTAGTTGTTTTACTTGATATTGGTTCATGTTTCAGAATCATACAAGAGTGTTGATGTAATGACAGCTTGATAGACTTGTATCTTGGTATTCACCTCGAGGTCGTGGTTTTCAAAAACACATTTATGTAGCTTGATGAGTGTAAGCCCGACGTTACAAAGTGTACACATGAACTGTTTTGGAGAATTAATGTTTTTTTTTTTTTTTATGTACAGCAACACCACTTGGAAAAATAGATGTTTATTTATCATGTATTACTGTATATGTAGCTTACAGCAATAAAACTACCTGCCTAATGTTGTGTAGGTGTGCGTGGACATGGGTCCCATGGGGGTGTCCTGCGGTCTCTGGCTCTGGAACATTGGCAGTAGGTCCTGTTAGTTGAAGGATGAAGACTTTGTGGATCAAACTTGTGTTGATGCAGCACATGGATGTGCGATCAAAATGTTCTTTGTTGTGTATCTTAGGATGTTTTTGAGCAGATTGATGAGATAAACTGTTATTCACTTAACCTGTCAGTGGTTTTAATGTTGTGACTGATTGGTTTACATGTATATCCTGTGTGTGTGAGTGTTGAAGGGGCTATAATTCAATTAGAGCCGAGTACAAAACACTACACAAAACTTGGCAAACACAACAACTGAGCCATATGTTGCCTTCAACGTATTTGCCCTCTCTCTGTATTCTTTCTGCATGTCTCACAGTAGATCTTGTCTGAACAAACAGGTTCCGACTATCTATTGTAAAAACTCGCATTCATGAGGTCAGACACATGACTGCTTCAGGCCTCAGTGACACAAACAAAAGTGGCATCCTCTGACTGAACTTGATGTTTGTCTTTGATTTAAACAAAGATACACTTTAGCTATCCTTGTGTTTAAGCTCAAGACCTTTGACCATCTGGAAATTTGTACTTCTTTAGATTGTGTGTTTCTTTTTCGGTTATTTTTAACTCTTGTATCCTATTACTTTGTACTGCTTCAGTCATGCAGTTTCTTTTGGATCTTCTCATCTGAGGTCAGTTTATTCCTTTTGTTTCTCGCCACAACACTACTATCTACATTTATGAGCTAATGGGTTTATAATTCTGAATTTCTCAGCTTCATTTCTCAGTTTCTTCTCATGATGTCATCTCAAGAAAGTTGAAGAGCAGTTTTATCTCCTCGTATTCAGGTCAGCGACTCTTTAACGGAATCAGGTCTCATTCTTCTGCCCTCATTGACAACATCATCCCTATCTCAGCGTTGTCTTATCATCACAGAGTTTAACTTCATGCAGATAGTTTAAATGTTTCCAGTGTAAAACACTCAAAATGTCAGTATACAGTGCATCTTTATCTGGTCTTTCTATGACTGTTTCAAATTCAACTAAAGCCATTTGTACACAGGTTGATTGTATCCAAGTCACATGTGATATATGATCATTTAACAATCTTAGAAATTCCTGCTTTCTTCACATCCTGCTATACTAAAGTTTCAATAACAAACTGTGGACCATCACAAAATGATCTGTAGGTTTTCCAAAACAGTATGAAGATGTATGAATGTAACACACTGGAGTGTACAACTGAGGTATTCCCAAAAGCTGCAACGTTTTAGAGCCTTAAAAAAGTAGAATTAGTGAAAACCTTTTATCAACATTAATTTATTAATGATTTAATCAACAATGCCACTTCTTAATTGAGTGATGAAATACGTCGCCATTCAAACCCATGCCATGATTTTTGTACATGTTTTAATGAGCAAAACCATATTAAAAGGCAGTCTGCTGAAGAGAACACGAGAGCATACACTGGATCCAGAATCTATGTCAAATAACACAGAATCAACATTGTAGTGACTACAGAGCTTGAGTTTTAGGCATAGTAAGTGTTGGTTTATGAGTATAAATCATAACTCCACACATCAGTCCAGTTTCACCACAACACTGGGCCCCAGGGGCCGCTGTAGTCCCACAGGTAGGGTCTGTACTGGTAGGCTTTACAGAAGGAAGTTATTAGTGATGACCTGACCAAGTCCTCTCTCAGTCCCTCTGCTTTGTACGCGTCCTTACAGAACTCCGGTGTCTGCTGCTTTCGTTTCGTTTTGTACCTCCTGTTCTGAAACCAGATCTTCACTTGGGTCTCGGTCAGTCTTAAGGTGCTGGCCAGGTGAGCCCTCTCTGGGGCGGACAGGTACTTCTGGTGATTAAATTTCTTCTCCAGTTCAAGAACTTGGAGATGCGTAAACGCGGCTCTGGAGCGCTTCTGTTTCCCTGTGGAGGAAAAACTTGACTCTGGGGAACTGGAACAGGACGCATTCAGAGACTCTGTGGAGTACAGCACAGACGTGATCAGTTAGTTCAACAGGCATATAGCTTTGTAGCCTACATATCAGTCTGGTTGTAAGATAAACAATCACCACAATGTATAAAAAAATATTTTCAGAAAAAAAAATCCTTGTAAAACTAGACTTTTATATTGCATTTCTACAACTTCTCACAATATAAATCCATAATGTATTTATTATTAAATAACATGATTCCACAGAAGCTCACCTGTCTGCACTCCAAACGCCTCCTCCCGAGGACAGAGTTGTGCTGACAGCTTTTCAGATTCTTCTTTCCACTGTGAACATCTTTCCATCTTCTGCGAGCAGCATTTCCCATGAAGCCTTGTGCTTTCCTTAATGGAGAGGATGTCCTCAATGAGGAAGGAGGTCACAGGTTTGACTGTGTCAGACATTTCCATCCCAGTAATCCACAAATCGGAGGCCTCAAAGTGCCAGAGAGCTGCAGCGGGGGGGAGACGTGGTCGAAGCAGTGTGTCTCCTCACGCACTCACACGGTCTGAATTTATACAAGAGCAGGGGCGGGTCCATCCAGACTGCACCGACAAGTGAAGGAGGCGGGGCACAAGTGTCTGCTTCTACCTTGAGTAGCTTTCATTTGTTTGCCTCTTCAGATCAACTTGATGGGGATTTCTGAGGACAAACAAAAATCAAGTCTTTTATTGTTAAAGTATCGCAATTCTCCATGTCTTTCATTTTAATCATTTCAAATAAGTTACATTATGCTTTGCTATGAATATGTCAAAAACACATTTAAAGTCTCCATTTTATACAGATTTTATATAATACTACTGTATACAGTTCACAGAGTACACCTACCTTCAACTAATACAGACCAATACAGGAGTAAATCTGCATTAAATCCCTTCATGAAGGTGATAATGTTCTTGTTGCCACCAAAAACCATTCAGCAGAGGGGTGTTGATTCAACATTTTTAGCAGCCGTTTATGGTGCTATTGAATTGATTGTGTTCTTTTTACTTGAATAGAATTATTAACTATGTAAATGTATTCATGACATTGCATGATACAAAGAGGTATCTTTCATATGTGTAAATTAAATATTAGGTTTGATTCAATATGGTTTGCATATTGAATCAGAATCTTTAATGTCTAAGTACCAAAAGTACAACAAAATAAGTGCAGTCCCAATCAGTGCAAAGGAGCAATTCTGAACCAACAAAACTATGTGCGAAGATAAAAATCAAGAAGTTTATGAAAATATAGAGAGAATGTATTGTCACTTAATCCCATAGTTGTACCCTTTAAGATCTACTTATAGAAGATCAAGGCAAAAAGAACTTAAAATGAGATAGTAATTTAATAGAAGACTAACAAAGGATGTGTTTATGAGCGTAGTTTGTGTGGTCAAACGAGTCCTTACAGACAGACAAAACTTCCTGCTCCAGACACACCACAAGTCCAGACAGCAGCATTATTCGAGTATAAGGTGTCATAGCAGTTAAATGGATTTATGCCTTAATCTTCATGCCCCTACCGGCTCAGCACAAGTCGCCCAGTTGTGTGTGCAGGTTTCAGGGAGACAGCTCTGTCTGCGGTCCAGGACGGAGGGGAGGGTCAGAGTGGGTGGTCATACCTCCTGGACCACTAATGAGTTGGACACATTTCGGCCGGCTCCTGAATGGACACACTCGTTGTTAGGTGGCTGTTTATTTGTTGTTCTCTGTGGCTTTGGCTGACCTTTCCGTAGCGACTGAGATGTTTACTAGCGGGGTCTGCGTTGCTCTGGGATTTCGTGCTTGATTTGAAAATGCATGAATGTAGGTATGATAAACACGACCCCCTCCATGCCCCCTGGTCCCGCTGACTCCTGCAACTTCTCCTGCACCAACCACACACACTAAAGTCACAATAATGAGAAGCTTGTAATGACTACTTTAAAGTAAATCAATCACAGAGACATTTTTTTTACTGACTCACGTTTAGCATGTTCTGTCCTGCGTGTTTTGGATCATCATTTAGAGAAACCATCTGTTTGAAATCTACTGAGAGTCCTCTTTAGCATTACCTGCTGTCCTGTCAACACAGTATTAAGATTATCAGTGTGATATGTTTTACCCTGAATTCTTAGTCTGCGACTGTCTGTCTGCTCAAGTGTGTTGAACTGTAAGCACAGAAAGCCTTTATCCTTTCGTCTAGACACAGGTATTCTCCCTCTTTTAAAGTCCCTTATGTTTGTTTTTGGATCATGCAATACCGAATGTGGAAGGAAAAGGTGATTTTTTTTTTGAACTCTGAAACTGCGCATGTTTATTCTGATGTAGGTCACTTTGATATTACTTTAAAAAAAAAAAAAAGAAAAGCCAAACACATGGTCGGTTGTCGTCAGAGGCATCGTCACTTGGCTGAAAAAGAAACCACATGTAGTGTGAGGACAAGAACATAAACAAAGTCAGCAGTGAGAGTGAGTTCCTGTCTTGTCTTGGGTGGGAGGATCATACATTTTGTTCTTTTAAGAGTCCACCAGTGCTGTCATCTTCTGCCCTTGTTCTCTGACAATCCACATGATTGCTTCAGGGTAAAAACAATGACATTTCTTTTATTTCTTATTGTGCAAATGCATTTGTTGCGCAGATATTTAGCTGCATAGTTGCACATCAGACGGAACGCAGTAGAACCCCTGACCTTTTAGCCCGGGAAGGCATTTGTCTTCCACAGTACAAACTATGTGGTGACAATGTTTTCTTTGAGCCACTGAAAGTCGCTGGCCATCAATCTTCTGCTGTTTTCCTGCTAGTTCATTGTCTGAGCTGGTGAGTAGCGAGTCTTTGTTGTAACAGTAGTTTTGTCAGACTTGTGTCTTTTTATCTGCTCAGCATCAGAGTTGTTTTATACTTTGTCCTGCACCTGGTTATCACTCAAGAGAGTATCATCTTCCCTTGTGCACTGTATGACATCATAACAAATATGCAATCCGACCGAAGAGGTCAGTTTAAGGTTTTAACACAAACCTCCAGCGGAGTGTAAAAAAGGCTTTTATGTAGAAGGTTTGACCAAATTTATCTTGTCAGAAACTTTGAATAAACTTCATTTTTAGGTTGCATTTTGTGATTGTGAATAAAGGAAGCATTTGTTTTTCCAAATGCTATGTGGAATAATTGTGCAGATGATGGAAATAGAGAGTTTTTTTTTTTGCCATGTTAAAGTGCTGGTTGTGTCTTCCAGTAGAGGGAGCTTTAAATCCACACATCAGGTCTCTACAAAGTAGCCCAACAGCTGCCTCTTCCACACAATGAGCCTCTCTGCTGACAGATAAGAGAGTAAGATTACACACCGTCGACTGTTATGTCCCATCGTCATTTAGCTCACAACTACAAAGCCACTTCTTCGGCTGATTTAGTTGTTTCGGGGTGGACGGTCAGACAGCGGGACTCCTGGATTTGCGAATCATCTCAGCAGCAATCATAAACACCAGATTATCAGGCTGGCTTTTAAAGGCTATTACATAGCCAGAGACATATCAGTGTTTCTAAAGCTGACATAACTACAGCATGACTTCAAATCTTTTTGGTTAAGTCATAATGGGTCTTTCACTGATGGCCAAACTCACGTCATCGTCTATTTAAACTGACCCTCATCACAACAGCGTAATCAAGCACCTTTATTTGGAAAGTTTTTCTTTCATTCATTCGTCTTTCTCTCTTTCAACAACACAACTACGACACATAAGCAAAGGGTGAGTAATGTTAAAATGAGACACTTTGTGAAGATTTGTGTTCTAGAAACAATTTACTGAATTACTCAAATGCCTCAGCTCCCACTTTAATACAATTCTATAATTATTATCCCTCTTACAACAATATACAGAAGACGAAAAAAAGGAATTAAACACTGAATTCATGACTCAGTCTTAAACTGTCCTGATATGTCCTGAGAACACCTTTAAAATGCACTGCTGGCAAAATAGGAAACTGTCAAAATGGGTCACCGTATATTTTGATATATAAAAAAAAATCAAAAACATATAAGTTAAGACAAAAAATAGAAGTACTTTTAACATTTTATTGTCTTCACAAAATCATACAATGAAAACACAACGACACAAGTGAAATAATTATGTCAGCCACTTAAAATTAGTTAGATTTTTTTTATTTATTTATTTGCCCTTCTTTGCCCTAAAAATGTATGAGAACACCATGCTATTTTTTTTTAGAAAGTTTATTAAGAATGACAAATATAAGTCATTCATGTACCAATGTATACAATCATTAATTAATAGCAGTGCTTCTTTGCAATCAGTAGTTTTTTTTTTTTGAAATGCAGATAAAAGGTTTGGATATGAATTCATATTGTAAGCCTACTCAGTCGCCATTTATGATTTTAAAAGTAGCACAGTAAATTGCATGTAGTTCCTACTTAGCTAAAAAGAAAACTACAGACCCAAAACTGTACCAAACAATGATGTGTAGTGTTACAGTGTCTAGTGTCAGCTCAGGCTTCAGTAGCACCCCCGACAAAAAAACATGAAGCCAACATGGACGTGCCAAAAACGGCAATCCCTTGAACTTTAGGCTGATTCCAAAAATGACTTAATCCCAGAGACCTCCATGTTAAAATGCCTACCTTTAAAGCAGAAATAAACAAAATTGTATCAGGCACACAGTTATGCATAATGGAGGGTGTTGCTGCTGTAAGTGACAGGTGGGATGTTGCCTTTAATGACTCCTGCTTCACCTCTTTGTTCACTTTTGGATTCCCCCTCAGTTGGAAGTCAGGGACTGCCAATATGGCAACAGTCATAGCCACCTCACTGAGCTTCAGCACAATACATAAATTAAAAGGAGCTGGCAAAGTATACATAATAAAAATTCCTCTATTCATAAAACTGACTGTGAGTCTTGTGATCACAATGGATTATATCGTTGATTGTGTCAGACAGTTGTAAACCGTGCATCTTGTACCTTTGTCATGGCTGGTTGAGCCAGGCTGTGACAGCATTTATCGTGGTGTAATGCCATCCTTAGCAGAGAATGAAGTCATAGTCCGTCTGTGCGTGTCGTAATCTGAACTTCTTTGTTCTGTGTATGGGTAGCCCGTCCAGCCATGTGTGCATGTTAGTGCATGTGAGTCCCTCCCTTTGAAACTGCCGGCCCTCTCCACATACACAAACAGACAGCATAGCAATGGAGAGGCAGTTGAAGAAAAGATAACGTCACTCAGGTTGACAACAAGACCCTGTTTTCAGGGTCTTGTTTATGGAATGATGGGAAAATGGAGCTTGAGATAGACAGATGTCTTGGTCCAGCATCAGCAGTAATGCGGGCACTTACCAGACCATCGTGGTGAAGAGGGAGGCCGAGCTGGGAGGCAAAGCTCCTGATTTACCAGTCGATCCACATTCCAGTCCTCACCTGTGGTCATGAGCTCAGCTGGGTAGCGACCTAAGGAATGAGGTCGTGGATACAAGTAGCTGAAATGAGTTTCCTCCATAGGTTGGCTGGGCTCAGCCTTCGAGATACAGTGAGGAGCTCAGACATTCGGAGAGAGCTGGCTGCTCTGTTGCATCGAAAGAAACCAGTTGAGGTGGTTAGAGCGTCTGATTAGGACATCTCCTGGGCAACTTCTTTTTAAGGTTTTACACGCTCGTTCAGCAGGGAGGAGAACCTGGAGTAGACCAGGAGCTCACAGGTTGGATTGCATATCTCACAGATACAGTCATCCTTAAATGTATTCATACCCTTCCATTAAAGAAAAGGCAGAATTCACAATTGTCACTCAAATAACTAGAAATGTAAAAAATAGATACAAATTTGCGAAATTATAATTTTGTGAAGGGCTGCAAGGTAGCTCGGTGGTTAGCACCGTTGCCTGGCAGCAAGAAGGTCGCCAGTTCGCATCCCGGTGAGAACACCCGGGATCTGTCTGAGTGGAGTTTGTATGTTCTCCCCATGAAGCGTGGGTTCTCTCCGGGTTCTCCGGCTTCCTCCCACAATCCAAAAACATGTTGAGGTTAACTGGTGTGTTTGGTGTGAATGTGAGTGTGCTTGGTTGTCTGTCTCTAAGTGTAGCCCTGTGATAGACTGGTGACCTGTCCAGATTAACCTGCCTTCACCCTGAGTCAGCTGGGATAGGCTCCAGCACCCCGCGACCCTAGTGAGGATTAAGCGGTGTATAGATAATGGATGGATGGATAATTTAGTGAAATCAGACATTGCTTTTGCATTGTGGTTGAAAAGAATAATTTTTTAAAAAAAGAAAAAAAAAAAAAGAAACAAAACTGTCCCAGACAAATTAGAGCACTTTGCTGATGAGCAGTGGACCAAAACCAAAATACCTGTCAACAGGTGCAGAAGTCTGAGAGTTACAGAAAACACTTGATTGCAGTGATTGCCCTCAAAGAGTTGTTCAACAAAACATTAGTTTACGGGTCCCATCATGCTTGTTAGATTTTTTTTTTTTTTTTTGAACCACAATTCAAAAGCAATGTCATGATTTTCCTTAAATTTTTTATTTATTATTACTTTTGTCAATTTCAATTTATTTCAGTGACGGCTGTTTTTTTTTCCTTCTTTAATGGGAGGGTATGAATACATTTGAGCATGGCTGTACCCACTGATCTGATAAATACCTCTCCAAAGAGAACACTTCCATTTTTTAATCACCTCAGATCAAGTTAATTGTTGCTAATGAGTAGACTACAGTCAGTTGTCATTTTTTCATTTGAAAGAAAACTTCCTACCTGACCTCTTTACTCTTGGTTTACCTTCTAGTCCTGTTTTGTTCTACAGTAGATCTCAGCGCTCCGTCTGCCATCATGGAGAATCGTGTTACTTTCCACCTGACTCTCCTCAGTCGGTACTTTACAGTACACCCACGGTGTCTTTGCCTTTGCTCCTTCATCTTTTACTACGAATGCTTTTGAAGGCCTAAAAGCAAAATCTGGACCCGGCTGACCACAGGGCACCATCAAACAAGAGAGAGACACATCAAACACAGCCAGTGTAGTATCAAGTGTAGAGTAGCTTGTGAGATGAACACTAGACCTCTGAACGTACAGGTTTGTCAGAGTCTGAGCAACCCACCAGTTTACTTGTCCTTGATCATTTTAGTGTCTGATACTAGCACCACTTTGTTCAAAGCAACATTTTCAGATTTGGCAGTTGACTCTGACTCCTTGGCTCACTGGTAGTGAAGGTATACGGCTAGGTGAGAAAAAAAAAGAGCTAAAATAGTGGCTATGAAGCTTTTTCGTTTGTGAGCCAATTCATTCAAAGTGTCTTCAGTTCAAACAAGTTATTATGCTGCACATTTAAGCGAATGCAGTGAACCTGTTGACTCACAAACCATCACAAACCCAGGTTTTGCAGGCTCTCCTTTCAAGACATATATGATAACTAGCAAGTTGTGGTAAAGTAAAAATGGTAACTTGTCCCAAAAGAAAGGAATTATCCATCCATCCATTATCTATACACCGCTTACTCCTCACTATAGGGTTGTGGGGGGCTGGAGTCTATCCCAGCTGACTCAGGGTGAAGGCAAGGGGACACCCTGGACAGGTCACCAGTCTATCACAGGGCCACACTTAGAGACAGACAACCAAACACACTCACACCTACGGACAATTTAGAATCACCAATTAACCTCAACATGTTTTTGGGAGGAAGCCGGAGAACCTGGAGAGAACCCACGCTGCATGGGGAGAACATGCAAACTCCACACAGAAAGATCCCAGGTGTCCTAACCGGGATGCAAACCAGCGACCTTCTAGCTGCAAGGCAACGGTGGTAACCACTGATCACCTTGCAGCCCAGAAAGGAATTAATTATCCTAAATTTATATTTCCCTCTAAAAATGCAGATTTGACAATGTTTCACTGAAATGGAAGTAACATACTTTTTTATTTTTCCCTTTATTGAACAATACAGCACCACCACCTTGTTCTACTGTTTAATTTATCCACTAAGACAATCATCTAAATTCTAAGACATCACTGATATCATGGCAGAACTTTTTTATTTTTAATAATGTATCTAGAACAGGAGAAGTTGGAAACCTTACAGATAAAGTGTTAACGTAAAGATTGAACTAAAGGAAAATTAAACTAATGCCCACTGAATCAAGTATAACTTTGTCTATATGACCAACAATATGATTTATTGCCAGATAAAATCAATCACACTTTAAACCAGCACCTACCATTAACATAACTGCCGCCGCTGCGAAGCCTTTTTTCTGTGTCACACACTCAGACATTATCTGATCTCTTGGTCTCCTCTCTGTCTGCTGCTTCATCCTTATCAGTGCTCAGATGCTCCTTCAGCTCCTCTCTGCTCTCTGAGGTGTTTCCTCCCCTCAGGCCCTCACAAATGACACAAACTCACTTTTTTTTTTTCTTTTTTTTTTTTTAGTCACATGATTCATTTATTGATCCATGATAAGATTCCAGCAATCCAAACCACAAATCAGGAAGACATGTAACTGTAAACTTTGCTTCATTTCAGTAGTTAAACGTGACTCTGTGAATGAAGCGTGTGGCTCCTCGGTGACTGACAGGTCAGACTGGAACTGGTCCTGGTTTGATTGAAAGTTTGACAAAGTTAAAGAGCCACTGTGTCTGCGGGTTTGTTTACCAAGCAAAGCTCCGGGACAGGACGAGCTCGCCGCCTTATCAGCGGATTTGTGAATGGGACAATAATGAGCTCAGTTTGATAGAGCAGCAGGTCAGATGTCACTTCATCCATTAGCCTCCGATGGCTGTCTGTGATAAAAGCTCCATAACCAGGGAAGGGCTTCTAATCAGGCCTGTTGTTGTTTGTTTGATACTGAGTGGAACAATGGACAAGTTGATCCAGAGCTGTCGTTTTTTATTTATTTATGAATATTTGTAACAGATTTAACGAATAATAATTTCAAAAACGCGTTTAAAAAATGGTCATAGAAAGAAAGAATTTATTTAATAAAAAAAATTAGAACCACGTTTTAAAAAAAATGTTGTACTTTTGGAGATCAAGTCACATAAAATATACTTTAAAAAAAAAAGGCAAAATGTCCTACATCTCTAAATCAGAATGTGCAGCTATTTAAACTGTGTGATAGAAGTTAAGAGAAAAAAAAGTAAATTCTTCAAGTCAGTGCGTAATAATCGATCAGCAATTTTCTTTTTCCCCCAAGATGAAGCAACAGATAGTCTACAGTTTCATATATAATAAGCAGTAAACATCTGGCAGTGGAATGTTTGATATCTTTACGATACTTTATTATGATTATTATTTATTTATTTAGTTTTTAATCACCAGCCTCTTAAAGGAGACTGAAGCTGTCCGTGTTCAGGGTTACCTGCTACCAGATCAACCAGCTGGTTACTGGACATCTGCCCAGCTGAAGGAGACACACTGTGGTAACTATAAACGCTGTTGTTTCCAAATACTGGACCGTAATGTCCGAGAGTCACATTATAAGGCGCAGAATGGGACCCGCAGAGCCTCCCGTCCCGAACCAGCACCGGCACCGCCACCCTCCTCCCGGCGGCCGGAAACCCCGCCAGCTCCAGGCTCTTGTCCTGCCGCTGCCGCTTACATTTGTACCTCCTGTTCTGGAACCAGATTTTCACCTGCGTGGAGGTGAGTTTGAGCAGGTGCGCCAGGTGGTCTCTCTCCGGGGCGGACAGGTAGCGCTGCTGTCTGAAGCGCCTCTCCAGCTCGGACACCTGGGACTGGGAGAAGAGGACGCGGGGCTTCCTGCGCAGCCTGACGCAGCTTTTTGCGCTTTTGTCCTCGTCAGGTGAACCATGGAGTCCGGTCATCTCTGCGCGTCAGAGAG